TGTGTGAATAAACCCTAGACTTGTTTGTGTTTCTGTAATGATGAATCCCAGTTGCTATTATTCCAAGTGTTTAAGTCTTGTCGTTTTTATTTGTTTTGAAGGGCCATAATGCTTTGTAAAATACTGAAAACAATTGTAAAAGCATATTCAAAATAATAGGAATATTTTTGCAAATGAAATCCTATATTGTTTTTCAACTATATAATTGAAATAAATGTATTAACCAATTCTTCCTGAACATGTATGCAGTAAATGTGAGATCTTGGGTATGTGTATATTCTGTCCATCCCAAGCATTGGTTAACGGAAATGTTTGTAAAAAAAACTGCTTTACATATGAATCCTCCTCTCCTCATAATAGAGCTTGCACACGGCTACAGTTTGGTGTTTGAGAAAATGAGGGTAACTGAGCTTTTGAATTCCATAACCTCCAGAGGTCAGAGGAAGTTATACATCTTGTTTTTTGTTTTTGTGTGTCTGCAGAATTTCCATAGTTTAGCAACATACCTGTCCCAGAGCACCTCCACGTCGTTCCTGGACATCGTGTCGGACTTCCATCTGCTCCTCTTCCTCGTCACCAATGAGGTCATGCCTCTGAGAGTAAGTCCATACTCCCTTTGTTTTCCTTTTTGTTTAGCAGCAAACGGGTTATCATAAGCCCACATTCTTCTCCTGTCTGGAAACGGTTACTGTTGTGAGGATGTTTTCACTCATGCTGACAGATTTTGAAACTCGCCCCAGGCCCACCATGACGATCAAAGGGTGATAACAAATTGTTGGATGCTTGATCAATTTTGGACTTTTTCTATAAAAACCAGACTTTGCAAAAACAACCAGCTGGTGTATTTTATCCCTGAATTGTCTAGCGGATAGATGAGAGTTTGTGTTTGTTTGTGCAGGACAGCATTGGGTTGCTACTCGATGCAGTGAGGACTTCTGATGAGGATCTGGCCCAGACCTGGAAGAAGTCGGAGCAGTGGGCCACCATCGAGCAGCTGTGCAGTAAGTCTGCCCATCATACTCAGTCATACCCGTACAGATCTCAGTTTAGTTTGTGCACTAGTGTGGAATATTCAACTGACACATCTGGTTACAGAAATCTTTAATACCTTTTGGTTTTGTACTTCAAAAATAGACAAAACTGTGACACATTTTCAAACATGACACTGTGTTGTGTTTTCCTTTTTAATTTGTCCCCTTTCTGTACAATAACATCTAATTTAATTCGATGACAAGCATATACTAGTATTCTATCTTTGCTCTATTTATAGGTGTATTTAGGTGTGGGAAAAGCTTAATATGTACTTTTGAATATTTGAAAAGTGCTTGACTTTGACTTTGTAAAAGAGAAACCTTATTGTCAGACTAAGACATGCAGTAGACTCGCCTTAAGTAGAAAGCTAACGTTAGGCTATAAACTAAATTACAGTAACATGACTGCACTAAGCTAAAGGGCGGCTAATGTTGGTGTTGATTACATTTAGTAGTCTCATTTAGTTACTAGTCTGCAACCGCAGTCAGTTTTGTGACACATAGAAACTTTCACCAGTGGGGTATTGAGTGACGCATTTGATGTTGTGGAACGAAGCATGAAAATCTATTTAGCTTGTGTTAACCACTGACCTTTTTCAGGCAGCTAACCAAAAACACGACGAGGGAACCGGAAAACGGGTTATCAAAAAGTAGCTAATGCTGTGTCCTCCCTCTCCTCAGGTACAGTGGGTGGGCAGCCCTCCAGCTCTCAGGGTTACGGGGCCATGGGCGGCCCCTCGGCCCCCGCCTCCTCCTCGGCCATGTGGTCCTGCCTCCACTGCACCTTTATGAACCAGCCCGGCACAGAGCACTGTGAAATGTGCAGCCTGCCCCACAGTTAAACAAATCCATCCTGCCCCCCTCCCCCTATGTCCCGCCCTAATCTCATCCCCCCCAGCCAATCTCATCGCTGCACCAGGACGAGCTGCGAGATTTGGATTCCCTTTTTTGGTTTTTCTTTCGCCTCGCTCTGAAGCCTTCCCATCTCACAGGCTGCTGATGAAGGGGATGCACTCGTTTACACCAAATTCAATGAGTAAATAAAATAAAACCAGACTGTGTTTATTCTGTATCCCTCCTCACAGCGGCTCTAGTGAGTCTCGTTAAGGTAAAGCACTTTTTTTTTGGCTGAGGCCCCTTTCCCTCAATCCCCCCCGCCCTGAATAATCAGCCCATCAAATGAGACTGGAGTGTTTGGATGTTCTCACATCAGTGCCCCTCTCACTCTCACAACGTCTTCTGGAATAATGCTGTGTATGAAACACATTTGAGGAATGATACTGTTATTTAATTCTTTATTTTTTGTATCTGATTGTAGCGATACCTTCATGTTTTGAATCTGTGGACTCTACTCATGCAGGTCTCTTTGACAAGCCCCTTAAAGTACAATCGTCAGTCAAAGCTCAGACCTGAAAACTCTTAAATAGCTCCACGTAAGTAGAGAGTTTATATTTTCAGTATTAATTTACTTTAAGAATAAGTCCCAGAGTTGAAAATGCATCAACAAAGAGCGTTTTACCCCTTACTCAACCTTAACAGTGGTTTGAACCTGAGCAAAAATAATATGTAGCTTATTTTATCAGCTGTCTCTGATGAAACCCAACTAAATAGCCAACATTATTGCTGACTTGCACTATATTAGCCGCGAGGTGCTTCTAGAAACAACTGGTGCTCGCCAATATCCTCTCCGTCGCTCCCTACCTGGGATTCTCCTTTGGTTTTCTCGCTGGCGCTGCTGATGGGGCCCTGCTGGGTAACCATGACTCATCCTTGAAGACTCCAAGTGTGAGGGGTCACTGGTCACTACGAGGAGAGAAAAGATGCATATTGATTTCACTTGTCTCAAGCAGGATGATGATGATCCGTGTTGGAACTAAACCTTGAAGTTGGCATGGTCTGATTTATGTTCTACAAATAATTGTAATCTTACAAGCATAAACCCAGAGCCTCTTCCAGCAGGAGACGTCAGATTGATGTTTTTTGTCGGTGTTTTCGAAGGGGCTAAGGCTTAAACCAATTTGAAATCACTTAGCTCTCCTCAATGGCACTAAAAAGGGTCAGTTCATCAAAACTTCAAAAAAGATTTCCATAGGTATACGATATTCGATAGCCATACACACAGTTTATACGTCTCTTTGTCTGCCTTGACCACTGTTGATGCAGATGTTTGTGCTAAGAGCATTGCAATGTGGCAGGAAGTTATCCATATAACTCAGAGACAACAAAACAATCTCCATTTTATACTGCTGTGAGTGGGGACATTTTTTGTTTTCCATTTCAACTAAGTAACCTTTAACATATCACAGTCAGCAGTATGCATATGAGGATAGTTGGTTAAAACTGGTTCTTTTTTATAACAGTTTTTTCCCCTTTTCTTCTTTCATGAGACACATTTGTCGACCAAAACTTGTGATATCATTTGAAACTTCCACATCTGGCAACAAAATGTTGAATTAAACTACCCCGCCTAGATTCTCGTAGCATTTCTTACATTGGTTCAGCGAAATGGACCACATTGATATTGTCCTTGCAATGTTAAGTGGAGGGTCTTGGTAAGCTAATGTGTTGCCATAATGATGTTTTTAGTACTATCAACAATATTCTAAAGGAACATATGTCTACATATATTAAATGAAAAGCCAGTGTAGTTTTTAAAATCATATTTAATGTCTGTCACCAAACTCATCTGGTTTGACTTGAATGCCTTTGCTCATACAATAGATTTGTAGATCCACGTCCTCCATATGTTTGCTGCTGACAGAAAACATTCACATCGCTACTTTCTTCTTCCTCAAACCTTTGTGCACTTCTCCATGAAATAGTTCCATGTCATTAATTTGCTAAAAGGATCTGGCAGGAGTGAATCACTAAATACTGTGGCGTTTCATCGGGGTGTTGCCGGGGAAACGGGCTTCTTAGTTGGGACAAGAGACTCTGGTTTGCTATTTATGAATTAATGAGACGTGTGCTTTGTAAGAGCTTGACAGTGATTCCATGACATATATATTTTAGTTGTAGGTTAATTTGAAAGAAGCTTGTGTTTTTTTTTGGTTTCTTTCTTTGCCCAGTTGATATCATTATTGCCTGCCCCCCCCCCCCCCCCCC